CCCCAAATTCCGTATATCGCCTCCGCGCCGCCCGAACCTCCCGGGACCCCCTCCCCAAATTCCCCTCTGTGCCCCCCAAACCTCCCCAGGACCCCCTCCGTGCCCCCCACCTCAAGTTCCTTCTGTGTCACCCAAAAATACCCTGCACCACCTCATACACCCCCTCCCCAAATTCCCTTCTGCACCACCCAAACCTCCCCGGGATCCCCTCCCCAAATTCCCTTCTGTGTCCCCCAAACCTCCCCGGGACGCTCTCCCTGCCCTCCCCGCCGCCCCCAGCCCCAATTCCCGGGGGTCTCTCTGTCTCACCCCCTCTCTTGGCGGGCGGCGCCTCGAGGCCGCGCCCCTCGCGGGGTGCCGGGGGTCGCGGGGGGGGCTCGGGGCAGGGCAGCCCCACGGCGTGGCAGGACAGCGAGCGGGGCGCCATGCCGGGGGCGCAGGGCCGGGGGCCGCGCTCCTGCGGCGCCGGCAGCGTCAGGAACCCCACGCGCAGGGGGCGCCGCAGCGACCCCCCCCTCCCGAGCCTTGGGAGCCCTGCGAGGGGAGGGGGAAAACGGGGAGGGGGCGTCAGTCAGGGGCACCGCAGGGACCCCCCAGGGACCCCCCCAGGGACCCCCCCTCCCGAGCCTTGGGAGCCCTGCGAGGGGAGGGGGGAAAACGGGGAGGGGGCGTCAGTCAGGGGCACCGCAGGGACAGGGACCCCCCAGGGACCCCCCCCCCTCCCGCGCCTTGGGAGCCCTGACGGGGACAGGGGACACGGGGAGGGGGCGTCAGGGGCACCCCAGAACCAACCAGAGATTGGGGGGGGGATTGGGGTTCCATTCCCCTTTTTGGGTGGGTTCCATTCCCCTTTTTGGGGAGACCCATTCCCCTTTTTGGGTGCATCCTAATCCCCTTTTTGGGGGGTCTCATTCCCCTTTTTGGGGGGATCCAATTCCCCTTTTTGGGGGGTTCCATTCCCCTTTTTGGGGAGACCCATTCCCCTTTTTGGGTGCATCCTAATCCCCTTTTTGGGGGGTTCCCATTCCCCTTTTTGGTGGGTCCCACTCCCCTTTTTTGGGTCTCCCATTCCCCTTTTTCGAGGTCCCCATTCTCCTTTTGGGGGGCTCCCCTTCCCCATTTTGTTGGGGGGTTCCATTCCAACTTTGGGGGTGCAGGGGGAGAAGGGGAAGGGGTCCCCGCTTCATTTGGGGCTTTTTGGGGAATTCTGAGTGGCTCAGTGACCTCCCGGGAGGGTCCTGAGGGACCCCAGGGTCCCCCAAGAGTGGGCCTGGGGCTCCAAGAGTCCCCTCAGGGGGGTCCCAGGGTGGTCCTGAGGGACCCCAGGGTCCCCTCAGAGCGGTCCAGGGCCATCAGTGTCCCCCCAAGGGCGGTCCCAGGGGCTCCCAGGGTCCCATAAGGGTGGTCCAGGGTGGTCGTGGGGCTACCAGCGTCCCACAAGAATGGTCTCAGGGGCTCTAAGGGTCCCCTGGGGGTGGTCCAGGGTGGCCGTGGGCTACCAGTATCCCCCATGGGTGGTCCCAGGGTGGTCCTGGGGCTCCCAATGTCCCATAAGGGTGGTCCCAGGGGTGCTGCCTTTCCCCCAAGGCAGCTTTGGGGGCTTCCCGCGTCCCCCCCCTGGTGTCCCCATCGTCCCCCCCGTGTCCCCCCGTGTCCCCCCGTGTCCCCCCGTGCCCCTGACCCCTTGCGGGGCTCCTCCTCGCGGGGGCGCCACTCGCTGTTGCGGCCCTTGCGCTGCAGGAGGCTCATGGCGGCCGCGGGGGGGCGCTCCTCGCCCAGGCGCAGCAGGGCGGCGGCGGCGGCGGCGGCGAGCTCCGACCGCGGGGGGGCGCTCATGGCTGGGGGGCTGCGGGGCGGGGCTTCAGCGGGGCCCCGCCCCCGGGCTCGGACCGGGCCCCGCCCCCCGGCTCGGACCGGGCCCCGCCCACTCCCGGGGTCCTCCCGTGACCCCCTCCCAAAACCCCCCAGGACCCCCTCCCCAAATCTCTCAGCCCACCCAGGACCCCCTCCCCAAACCATTCAGCTCACCCAGGACCCCCTCCTCAAATCCCTCAGCCCACCAAGATCCCCCTCCCCAAATCCCTCAGCCCACCCAGGACCCCCTCCTCAAATCACTCAGCCCACCCAGGACCCCCTCAGCCCACCCAGGACCCCCTCCCCAAATCCCTCAGCTCACCCAGGACCCCTCCCCAGACCCACAGATGCCCCAGCCTCCTCAGGACCCCCTCCCCAAGCCCCTCAGGATCCCAAGGACCCTCTCCCCACTCCCCTCAGGACCCCCTCCCCATGCGCGGGGTACCGGCACCCCCAAAGCCCGAGACCCCCTTGGAGCTCAGCCCCCAAAGCCCCAGACCCCCAACTCAAATCCCCGAAGACCCCTCCCCACCCGGGCCTGGGGTCCCTCTGCCCTCCCCCCTATGGGACCCCCGCCCGCCGGGTCCCCCAACCCCACCCCGACCCCTCCTCACTGACACCGAGGAACCCGCACGCCCGCGGACCCCCGGCCCCTCCTCGGTGACACCGGGGTACCCGAACCCCCCGCACGCCCGCGGACCCCCGGCCCCTCCTCGGTGACACCGGGGTACCCGAACCCCCCGCACGCCCGCGGACCCCCGGCCCCTCCGCTCCCACCGGCGCTGGGGACCCTCCCCAGCTCCCCCCACCCCTCACGACCGCTGCAATCGCCCCCAACCCGGGGGTCGCCCCTCGCCCCTCGCCCCACCCGGCCCCCGGGGTTCCTCTGCCCCCCCCTCCCGTACCCCCCCCCCGTTACCTGTCGCTCTCTCCGGGGTCCCACGGTTGTGGGGGGGGGGGAATCCACCGCCGCACCCCCCCCCCCACCGCCGGCAGCACGGCCGGGCCCGGGGGGGGCCGGGGGCTCACGGGGGGCGTTGGCCCATGGCGGGGGGGGGTCTAGCGGCCTGCGGGGGAGGGGCAGCGGGCGGTCACCGGGCGCGGGAGGGGCTCCGGGCCCACCCCCACCCCTCCCCTCCGCCCTCACCGGCCGCTCCCGCCTCCCGCTCGCGCCGCTCCATGGGCGCTGACGCAGCGTCCGGGACGCGCCGCCGCCGCGAGGGCGCCCCCTGGCGGCGCGGAGGGCGCAAAGCGCGGCGGGGGTCACGTGGTGCGGGGGCGTGTCCTAATATGGGCGGGGATTTCCATGAATGGGGCGGGGCTTGGGGAGGGGCGCGCCTTGTAGCACCGCCTTAAAGCGCAACATCACTTCCGGTTCTCACTTCCGGGTGCTGCCGCCGCCGCCGCCGCCGCCGCCGCCGGTAACGGCTCCGGGCCGGCCCCGCCATGTTCCTCCTCCTCCTCCCGCCGCCGCCGCCCCCATGAGCCGCAAGAAGAGCGGCTTCGCCATCACCAGCGTCCGCGGCGGCAGCGGCAGCGCGGCCGGCGATGCCTCGGGCGCCGCCGCCGGTTCCGCGCCTTCCTCGTCCGGCAGCCCCAGCGGGTCCCGGTTCCGCCTCGTCCGTTTGCTGTCGCCGGGGGAGGTGCTGCGGCGGGGTCGGTGGCTGTGCCGCGATTTCTACGAGCGGGACGCGTCCCCGCGGGGCGGCGGCGGCGCCGGCGGCGGGAGGGTCCCGGTGTCGCTGGACGCCCCCCGGGCCGTGCCCGCCCCCCACCAGCCCCGCTCCCTCGGGGCCTTCGCGCAGCTCGTGCAGCAGGTGAGGTGGGCGGGGTCTCCGTGGGGGGCGGGGCTGCCGCAACCACGCCCCCAACCCCCCTTTGTTTGTTTACAGGCGCTGCCCCCCAAACCCCCCTCGCCACGCCCAGGGGGCGGGGCCGAGCTCAGCGCGCGACTTGGATTGGCTGGCGAGGAGAGCGAGGACGAGGGGTAAGGGCGGAACTTCCGGGTGCGAAACTTCCGGTATGGGCGGGGCGGGGGGAGAGAGGGGGCGGGGCTTGGAAGGTGCGAGGGAGGGGCACGAGTTCCCCTCCCCCACCCCCCCCAAAAAAAGGGGAAGGAAAAAAAGGGGGGGGGGGTGTGAGCTGTGCCCTTCCCCCACCCACGGTGTCCATCTGTCCATCTCTGTCTGTGTGTCTGTCCATCCGTCTGACCCCGGCCTCGTCCCCAGCGCCGGCAGCGGCGTCACCGCCATCGACAACAAGATCGAGAGAGCCATGGTGAGAAAATGGCGGGGAGGGTCTTGGAAGGGAGGAAATGGGGCGGGGATCAGGGTGCTGGAAGGGAGATGAGAGAAGGGGACTGGGGTCCTGGAAGGAAGGGGATTGGGGTCCTGGAAGGGAAGCTTTGGGGGGCTCTAGGTTTTGGAAGGGAGCTGTGAGGGGAGATGGAGGCCCTGAAGGGGAGGAGTCGGACGGTTTGGTCACCTGGGAAGGAAGTGTGAGGGGGTTTGGGGTCCTGGAAGGGGGGAGTTTGGCGGTCTTTGGGGGTCTCTGACGGTGCCCCCCCAGGACCTGGTGAAGTCGCACCTGCTGCTGGCCGTGCGGGAGGAGGTGGAGGCGCTGCGGGAGCAGATCCGGGAGCTGAGCGAGCGGCGGGCGGCACTGGAGAGGGAGAACCGCCTGCTCCGAGCCCTGGCCACGCCGCAGCAGCTGGCCCGCCTGCCCCCGGGGCCGCCCCCGGGGCCGCCCTGAGCCCGGGGCATCCCGGGGAGGGGTCCCGGGGGGGTTTTGGGGGGTTCCGGGGAGGGGACAGCGCTCGCTGCTCCGCTGCTGCTTCACTGCGAGGAAGGGACAGAGCACAGCGAGCTCTGCCGTCCTTTCTGCGCCACTTGGGGCCTTTTTTAATAAACTCGCGATTTTTACAGCACGGGGGACGCGCCGTGGTCATTTTGGGGTAAAATCGACTGAATTGGGGCGAGCGGCCGAGGCGGGGCTCGAACCCGCGGCCTCCGGGACACAGGAGGAGCGGGCCGCCATCTTGGGAAGGGCGTGAACCCCCCCCCCCCCCCGGGCGCCGCCATCTTGGCGCGGTCGTCGTTATGAGGGGGCGTGGCCACCGGCGCAAACAGGGCGTGGCTTCCGCCGCCATGAGGCCGCGCTCGCTCCCGCCGCCGCCGCCCGGGGGGATCCTGAGGCGGGGGGGGCGCGGGGGGGGGCACCGGCAGGTGGGGGAGGGGGAACGGGACAGCCCGGGGACACCGGGGGGGTGCGGGAGGGACCGGGACAGCCCCAACCGGCGGGGGGGGGGGGCTCCGGGACCCCAATTCTCCCCTCCCGCCGTTCCCAGGTGCGGTTCGCGCCCATCCCGGCCGAGGAGGATGATGATGCTGAGGAGGAGGATGCGGAGGATGAAGCAGCCGGGGCTCCGTTCCTGGCCACGCCCACCCCGCACAGCACCCGCGCCGGTCCCGGCGGGGCCGCCCCGGTTCCGTTCGACGCGCCCCGAGCGGCGGCCGCGCTCCTGGGCAGCTCGTGGGCGGCGCGCTCGGCGCTGGGCGGGGCCGCGGCCGCCGGTAACCGCGGGATTAACGGGGGGGACCGGGGGGTGGGAGGGGGTCACCGGTGAGCCCCGGTTTAACCGGAACCCCCCCGGTTCCAGCCATGAACGTGCCGCCGGCCCAGCGCCTGTTCCGCGGGCTCGTCAGCCTGGCCGTGCCGCCGCCGCTACCGGGGCCGCGCAGGGGGGTCCCGCCCGCGCCCCCCCCGCAGGTGAGACACCCCCCCCCCCCCCCCCCGCCCGGAATTACCGGACCCCCCCCGGTACCGGCGGTGCCCCCACCGTGTCCGTTCCCCCCCCCAGGTACCGGGGCCGTGCCTCGCCGTGCTGGCGGCGGGGGGCGTGGCCAGCACCGGGGGGGAGGGGCCGTGCCTCCCTTCCCCCGCGCCCCCCGAGCCCCCCCGGGCCCGCCCGCGCCCCCCCGGAGCCGCGTTCGCCATGTACCGGAAACGGCTGCAGTGGGGAGGGGGATAACGGGGACGGACCGGACCCCTCCCCAAATTCCCGCTTTTTCACCTCAAAAATCCCCTTTTATCCCTCTCAAAATCCCCTTTTTTATTCTCAATTTCCCTTCGCCCCCAATTTCCTCTTTTTCCCCCAAAAAATCCCATTTTTTTCCTCAAATCCCCTTTGTATACCAGATCCCTTTTTTCCCATCCCAAATCCCCTTTTTTCCCTCAAAATCCCCATTCCTCCCCCTCAAATCCCTCTTTTTCCCCCCAAAATAATAAATGTGTTGTTTTTTATGGTCTGTGTGTCCCTGTGACCCCACCAGATCCCCCTTTCCCACTCCCCAAACCCCCTTTTTCTGCCTCAAAACCCCTTTTTTTCACCCCAAATTCCCCTTCTCCCCCCCCCAAAATTTTGTTATTATTGAAGCGTTTTGTGACCCCTTTTCCCCCCAAAATCCCTTTTTTCCCCCCAAAATAACAAACCCGTTCATTTTGAAGTTCCCCGTGGCCCCGCCCCCCTGTGCTGACCAATCGCCTCCTTCATCCGAGGCCCCGCCCAAAGAACGACCCCGCCCCCAGCGCTGACCAATCACCTCCTTTATTCGGGGCCCCGCCCCCCGCTCGGAGCAAACCACGGCAAACGCCCGGGGGGGGGGAGGGGGGAGGGAACACCCCAAAACGCGGGGGGAGGGGGGGGCGCGCGGCCCCTCCCCCCGTTTGGCAGCCGGGGGGGGGGGGGGGAGGGGAGCGGCCCCCCCCGCCCCTCCCCCACCCTGGGGGCTCAAAGGCCGTGGCTCAGGGGGCGTGGCCTCGGCCCTTGTGGAACAGGTAAATCGGCCGCTGGAAACCTGGGGGGGAGAGAGGGGAAATTGGGGAGGGGGCACGGAGCTCACAGCCCCCCCTCGCACCGGGACCCCAAAGTAATCCTAAAATACAGCAAAAAAACTAAAATCCCAGAAAACAACCGAGAAAAAAATTCCTAAACATACCGTAAAAAGTTGTGAAAGAGCTCCATAGATATCTTACTTTAAAAGAGCCCTAAAACCTTTAAAAAAATTTAAATAAACCCTAAAAATCCTCAAAGAACCTTTAAAAAAATTCATAAATATGCCTTACAAAGTCCCGAAACAGCTCTGAAAATGTCCTTTAAAATGTCCACAACCCTAAAATCCCCAAAGAACAGTCCTTCACTTACCCTCAATACTCCTAAAAAGTCCCTAAAAATTTTTAAACAGTCTCAAAAGTCCTCAATTCAAAAAAAAAATGCATTTTTAAATACTTATTATAATTATGTTATTAATAATTGATAATTATACTATTATTAATATTATTATAATAGTATAGATAGATATCATAATTATATATAATTATATATTATACTAATTATATGTATTATATTAATACTATAAATTATATTAATTATATAATCATTACTATTATAAGCATTATAATCGTATTATTTAATACTAATTATATTAAAATAAAATTTTTAATATTTCATAACTCTTAAATAATACTTAGAAATTCTAAGTAATATTTAGTAGACTCTTATTATTATGCTATACATATAATAAATATATAATATATACAATTGCATATATATACATGTATATAATACATATATATATTGTAAAATATATATAATTATGTTTTATGATATATACAATAAATATGCCTTATAATGTATATATCTATATATAATATATAATATATAATAATATATATACACCCTTAATAATAACAATATACTGTTAATAATTTCTAATATATCCTTAATAATACCCTTAATAATAGTTAAGACACCCTTAAAACAACTCTTTAAAAGCCCAGAAAATTCCCTAAAAAATTCCAAAAATTCGGAAAATCCCTAAAAAACCTCCAAAAACTCAGAAAAAGTCTCCTAAAATTCAGAAAAAATCCCCCAAAAATCATTAAAAAAAACCCCAAAAATGCCATTTTTGCGGCCGGGGGATTTTGGGGTATTTTGGGGTATTTTGGGGTCCCACCTTTGGCGCTGTGCTGGGGGGTCCCCAGCAGCTCGCAGCGCTCGAAGCCCACCTCGGGCGAGGTCAGGTACGCCGGGAACTGCTCGGGGCGCAGCCGGATGCGCTGGTAGTTCCGGTACGTCGTCTCCTGGGGGAAAACACCAAAAAATAGAGATTTACACCCAAAAATAGAGATAGCCACACTAAATAACCCGGGGGCGCTGGTAGTTCCAGTACGTCATCTCCTGGGGGGGAGAAAAACACCAAAAAACAGAGATTTATACCCAAAAATAGAGATATCCCACCCTAAGTAACCTACATGGTGTCCTGGGAGGGAAAAGGGGGTGAGAAAAACCCAAAAAATAGAGATTTACACCCAAAAAGAAATATATCCCACCCTGAATAACCCAAGTCGTGTCCTGGGGGGAAAAGGGGTGAGAAAACACAAAGAATAGAGATTCACCCCAAAAATAGAGATATCCCCACTAAATAACCTACATGGTGTCCTGGGGGCAAAAAGGGGCCAGGAGCCCCCCCGGGACCCCCAAAACCCAGAGATTCACCCCCAGGCCTGCCCCACCGAGGGCACAGATCCCCCAGACCCATTTACAGCCCCCAGTGACTCCCCCAGACCCATTCACAGCCCCCCAGTGACTCCCCCAGACCCATTTACAGCCCCCAATGACTCCCCCAGACCCATTTATAACCACTCAAACCCCTCAGTGACCACCCCAGGACCCCCCAGACCCCCCAAACCCTGCCCTAACCCGACTCAAACCCCTCAGTGACACCCCCAGACCCCTCATTGACCACCCCAGGATCCCCCCAAAGCCTCCCAAACCCCTCTGTAACCCCCAAAACCCCACATTAACACCCCAAAGCCCCCCAAACCCCGCTGTAACCCCCCAATAACCCCCCAAAGCCCACATTAACCCCTCAGTGACGCCCCCAGACTCACGGTGAGCCCCTTGCGCTTGCGGTACGACTCCCAGGGCTGCAGCTCCAGCAGCGGGAGCCCCCCAAACCCTGCCCAGAGCCCCCCAAAGCCCACATTAACCCCTCAATAACCCCCCCAGACTCACGGTGAGCCCCTTGCGCTTGCGGTACGACTCCCAGGGCTGCGGCTCCAGCAGCAGGAGCCCCCCGGGCCGCAGGTGCCGGAACGCCCTCCGGAAGAGCCGCTTGAGCCCCTCGTCGCCCCAGTTGAGCTGCACCCACTTGGTCAGCGACAGCAGCAGCACCACGTCGAACTCGGGGCGCTGCAGGCACACGGCCTCCTCCCGCTCGGGCACGTAGTTACCCTGGGGGGCAATGGGGGTTTGGGGGCACTGAGGGGTTTGGGGGCAATGAGGGGTTTGGGGGCACTGAGGGGTTTGGGGGCACTGAGGGGTGTGGGGGCACTGAGGGGTTTGGGGGCACTGAGGGGTTTGGGGGCACTGAGGGGTGTGGGGGGCACTGAGGGGTGTGGGGGGCACTGAGGGGTGTGGGGGCACTGAGGGGTGTGGGGGCACTGAGGGGCTGGGGGGCAATGAGGGGTGTGGGGGCACTGAGGGGTTTGGGGGCACTGAGGGGTTTGGGGGCACTGAGGGGTGTGGGGGGCACTGAGGGGTGTGGGGGGCACTGAGGGGTGTGGGGGCACTGAGGGGTGTGGGGGCACTGAGGGGCTGGGGGGCAATGAGGGGTTTGGGGGCACTGAGGAGTTTGGGGGCACTGAGGGGTTTGGGGGCACTGAGGGGTGTGGGGGCACTGAGGGGTGTGGGGGCACTGAGGGGCTGGGGGGCAATGAGGGGTGTGGGGGGCACTGAGGGGTTTGGGGGCACTGAGGGGTTTGGGGGGCAATGAGGGGTGTGGGGGGCACTGAGGAGTTTGGGGGGCACAGCATGGGATGCTCTGAGGAGTTTTTGGGGGGCCCTGAGGAGCAGCAGCAGCACCACGTTGAACTCAGACCATGGGGTCTGGGGGGCACTGAGGGGTTTGGGGGGCACACAGTGAGCCCCCCTGAAGGGTTTGAGGGGTGTGGGGATGGAATCTGAGCCCCCCTGAAGGGTTTCTTGGGGGACAACGAGGGAGTGGGGGGCAGAGGTTGAGCCTCGGTGAAGAATTTGGGGCACCTGTGGAGAGATTTTAGGAGGTGGGGGGCACAGGCTGAACCCCCCCGAGGGGGTTTGGGGGTGTCTCAGGGGGTGGGGGGGCATGAGCTGAGCCCCCCTGAGAGTTTTTTGGGGGGCTGGGGATGGGATCTGAGCACAGCTGAAGGATTTGGGGGGGGTCTCAGGGGGTGGGGGGCACACGCTGAGCACCCCTGAAGGCTTTGGGGTACCCATGGAAGGATTTTAGGGGCTGGAGAGCGCACACCGAGCACCCCTGAGAAGCGTTTGGGGTACCAGGACCCCACAATCACCTAAAATCCACCTAAAACTGCTCTCAACCCATCCAGCCCTGTTACACGCACCGAGACCCCCTAAAACCCACCCAAACCCTACACCCCAAAACCCACCCAAAACTCAGCCTAACACCCCCAAAACCCAGCCCTACACCCCAAAACTCAGCCCTACACCCCAAACCCACCCAAAACTCAGCCCTACACCCCAAAACTCAGCCCAACACCCCCAAACCCACCCAAAACTCAGCCCTACACCCCAAAACTCAGCCCTACACCCCAAAACCCAACGCAGCGCCCCCCTCCCCGCGCCCCCCGCCCTCACCGTGACGAACACCACGTTGTGCGGGAAGTCGGCGGCGCCGGGCCCGTCGGGCGGCAGCTGCGGGGCGGCGATGGGGCCGCGGCTGGCGCAGAGCGCGGCCGGGAACCCTTTCCGGGGCGCCCCCGCGGCCTCGCCGTCGGCGCCCAGCCCCTCGGACAGGTAGTGGCGGATGTTCTGGCGCGCCGAGCGGATCAGCCGCCCGTCAATGTCCAGCCCCACCACGCGGGCGGGCGCCCAGCGCTTGGCGATGCTCAGCGTCAGGTGCCCCACGTTGCAGCCCACGTCCAGCACCTCCTTGCCCGCGAACCACTCGGGCCGCAGCGCCCGCAGCC